GCGCGACCCAGTTACTTCCAAAGCTGTAATTAATTCTCGGCTGCGCTTGGAGTGATCACAAGATACCGCGAATAGAAAATAGATTTTTAGAAAATAGATTTTTCATGTGAATGGAGTCTTAATCTGCTGTTCTGAAGATGCTCTCAAACATCACAGGTATGCCTCTGCATGATGGACACCAGTCAGATATGTTCATGTGGACATTTGTATATTGTGCTTTATTTTTTGAACCTAAACCAATTTAGTATTGTGGTTTGTTTTTGAAGCTCCATCACTTGAAATATGCTACAACACTAATATAGAAAACCAGATATGGTACAATGGGCTGTGATTGTATAGTCAGAGGTTAAAACCCATTTGTGGAATGTTGTTGACCAAGTTATTGCAATTATGGGACATTGTTGCATTCCTTTCCAAAAGAAAAAAAAGTAATAGGCACACAGGCAATTATGACAGTTTTTGTGACGATAGCCATTCAAATAAAAGAATGGGCGTGATTGTGTGGTGGTGATTTTAACAAGGAAAATATTTACCACCTCGAGCTTAAAAAACAGATCATTTTACTACTTTTGTGGTGTACTTTACGGGGGACAATAGTGTTTTTTGTTGATGGGTGGAGGTTGATGTTAGTAAGATAATATTTGGTTTAGGTTGTGGAGAAATGGGACCGGGGCCCTGTCTGTTACTCCCACTGAGTCAGGCGACCAATAATTGGATACAAACTGTTACAGTTATCTGAGCCGGGATTTTCATTATGGAGTTCTTGTTGCAATTTCTTGAAATGTTGACCTCTATTTTCTGGGTCAGAGATAGGCATCTCTATTAGAAGAAGTTCTCCCCCCCCCCCCTCCTCCCTCCATCCCGCTCAACTTTTCAATTGAAACCAAACAATTATCCTTGAGTTATAAATCCAGTGGAAAGTCAAATTATATAAGTTTTCTGTGTCTCATGTTGTAATACTGGATCCTTATTCTAGCTGTTTGTAATTATTTAAGGGTGGGTTGGGGGGGGGGGGAGAATTCATTGGGTTATTGTAATTGGTATTTTCATTTAGGTTATTTTATAAAGAAATTAAGTTACTATGATACACGTTTAAAGGAAAATGTGTCAAAATTAACAGTCATCAAAAGGCATACTTTACAAACACTAGAAAACCTCTCAGAGTTACAAGTAGTAGTTGGTAGTCCTCTGATGAAAACCACAATGTTTCATTTGTGCAGCTCTTCCTGCTTTCCATGTATACAAAGTGAGTTTGAAAAAACAAGGACTTCCGAATACTCTGAAATAAAATCCGTCTGCTTGTCCATCGTAAGGTGGAAACTAGTGGCGGTGACTCATAAGAAATTGGTGTAGAAAAAAAAATCACATCTTAATCCACTTATCTCTGCGGAACACATTGCACGTTTGGGACTTTCTCATTTGAACGTGTAATGTAATATTGGGAACACACTGTAAGAGTTCTTTTTTGTTTGGAGACTAGAAATGTGAGAACTCTTCTGTACTGGAAGTTGAAAACTGACAATCTTGTCTGCTGTCAAAAGAACAGTTTTTACAATGTGTGAATGGAGGAAGTTTTGAAAAAAAAAAAAAGGAAAAGAAATAATCTAAGAACATTTTAATCTTCAGCATGGAAAATGAGACAGATACTTAGAAGAAAACTAGAAAATATTTTGATCTGATAACCATATGCTTACTTCTCAGGGTTCTCTCATAATGGTTCAAGGAAAGAAATGATTGATAGATTGGGTTGAAGCTATTATGTTCTGCTGTATGTCAGTAAACAGAGTGAATGTTTTTATGGAACTTTTTATGAAAGGAGCATACCTGCTTCTTTTAAGTTTATCTACCTATTTATGTTTTGTGTTCAATTTGATGTGACCTTGTAAATATAGAAGATTTATTAATTGTCACATGTATGGATAAATGAATGAATCAATCTGTAAACACATGGATAGATGGATGGGTGAGTGGATAGATGGATGTAAGAAAAGAAAAGGTACACCAATATAAAATGCATATTTGCCTGTACTACTCACCAAAAGGAGGTGACCTAAGGTCTTTATTTTCTTCTTGTGGTAGTAAATATTGGCAGACATGAAGTACATAATCCATCATTTTTATGAACTGAAAAGACATGTAACCATCTAGAACTGCTTGTATCCACATGCAGGTAGAGCATCCACACCCTGGATGAGGTCATTTGGAAGTGTTTGTACATGCAGAGTGCAATTTGGCATTACAGGGGAAATATAGACATTTCAGGTTAAGTTTCAAAGCTCCAAGACCACTTCAATTGAACACTTTAAGAAGCTGAGAAACAATATCTGTGACATTTCTTCAAAATTATTACAACCCCATGCAAAAGGGTGTAATTATATGGAACTGCAGCTGGTATCTTGCTTCAAATATGTGATGTTTTTTCTTTTGCTGCACCAAATTTATATATATGACACCTCTTGTAGAGTGCAACAGGTGTACATGACCTTAAGTGACCTTTGACCTCAGATGACCTTGAACAAGACCCCTGGCTGTGATAGTGATAGAAATATAGGACCACCTCCATATTGTAGCTAAATTCGAACCAGGTTACAATCTGTTCCTCACTTAGCTGTGTATGTATAATAACAGCTGAATACTGAGGCATAATGTATATGTAGACAACACTGTATATGTACTGTATATATACCAGCATATATATGCAGGGTTATATGAATGCATATGGGATACTGTGATTATGATAATTGCACACTAAAAAATGATTACATTTTTGATGCAACATTTTGTCCAATTAAGTTGAGAATGAGAAAACCACGGGGAATTTCATCTAAATAGTTCATTAGGACAAGATGTTTTATAAATCAGTTCTTTTCTGTTTGAATTTATAGACTGAGAGCCATAATTCAAGATTCATCTGACCTCTTGCGAGATATCAGAAAGTTTTCCAGAACATCTGAGCAAAAAGCTTCTGTCTCTGAAACATCAGATAAAAGGGAGGGATAGGATTCCAGATTTTCTTTGACTAAGTGCAGTTGAATGCCAGACTGGTGTAAACAAAGTAATGTGATGTCTTGTTGTAAAAAAAAAGACTTTTTATTGACAAAAAAAGATATTTTAAAATCAAAGAACAGCTATTTTGGCAAAGTCGGAACAGCAGAAGTAGTCCCTATTCATATTCAAAGATATTGGTATAATCTTAACTGAGGGAATGGTAAAATAGGGCTTTTTTCCATTGACACACAACTTAAAATCCAGAAGGCATTTNTTTGATGCAACATTTTGTCCAATTAAGTTGAGAATGAGAAAACCACGGGGAATTTCATCTAAATAGTTCATTAGGACAAGATGTTTTATAAATCAGTTCTTTTCTGTTTGAATTTATAGACTGAGAGCCATAATTCAAGATTCATCTGACCTCTTGCGAGATATCAGAAAGTTTTCCAGAACATCTGAGCAAAAAGCTTCTGTCTCTGAAACATCAGATAAAAGGGAGGGATAGGATTCCAGATTTTCTTTGACTAAGTGCAGTTGAATGCCAGACTGGTGTAAACAAAGTAATGTGATGTCTTGTTGTAAAAAAAAAGACTTTTTATTGACAAAAAAAGATATTTTAAAATCAAAGAACAGCTATTTTGGCAAAGTCGGAACAGCAGAAGTAGTCCCTATTCATATTCAAAGATATTGGTATAATCTTAACTGAGGGAATGGTAAAATAGGGCTTTTTTCCATTGACACACAACTTAAAATCCAGAAGGCATTTAGTTGGTGGTCATTTAGTTGATGGATGTGATTTGGTGTTGTTTGTTGGCCAGTTTACTAACCATTTACAAAAAGATTTGTCTAAAGCTGACAACTGTCTTGGCATGGACAGAAGAAAGCATCAGATAAATGATCAGATTTGTTGTGATTGATCTCTTTATCAGCTTGGGCATACAGGTTTTTTTTTTTTTTTTTTTTTTTTTTGATAAATACTCCTTCGCCTCCAAACTCAAAACACATGCTTGTAGATACCACACTGCCTCTAAGGAAGATCAGTCTCAGAAAGTACAATATTTATATTGATAGCTGGAATCTGAGAGAGTGGAACTGGCTGAGTTGATAGAGAAAGCTGTATGGAGTGGCTTCTGCCATAATATTTTTCTTAGTGGTGAGAAACATTTTCTCGCTAAATTAGACCTCATGGTCGGGATGTACGTACTGTAATTGATACACTGGATAAAAGCAGGTACAAGATTATTGAGCACTGTGGTGATTTAGGAGGTTGAGATATTCAATCACCAAGGATATTTGATGAACTTCTTAGTAAGTCATACTTGAAAAAGAACTAACATCTCAGCCTGAAGAGAGCATTTAACTGCCAACAAGTTGCTCGTGATTTATGCCAGAAAAAAGTTGAGACCAGCGTGTATGGAATTGCAGAAGACAACTCGGAAGATTTCAAGAAATCCTGCCAGTACTCCTTTTCAGCCGAGTTATGAAGCAGGTGTGTAAGAAATGCACCTGTGTACAAACAAAATTGTGGAGAGGATTTACAAAGATTCCAGAGATTACTGTGTCTTCATCAGCAGTGTTAGAGGTTATTTTCTTACAGTGCTGGACATGTTTAATATTGTAGAAGAACTGTATTTGTTCCTGGAAACTTGAAGATCAGACTCCCAGTAATCCACCAATATTTCACTCAAAAATTTCATTCATCTTTTCAAAAGTTTGGTTCAAAAGCAAAATAATTCCAGTGGATTGACAAAAGACCTAATTTTTGAAAGAAGGATCCAAGAGACCAGGGATCTCAGACATTTTCAGTGCATCATTTTGAATTACCCTCATAACCATACCTATTAACTATACAAGTTACTCAGACATCCAGGAGCACCACCTGTGGTATTACCAAAATTACAGGCATATTAAACCATGATTATGTGATGTATTCCAGTGAACAGTTTTAGACTTGCCTCTACCCAGGTATTGCAGTTTTAGACTCGCCTGTACCAAAGTATTGCAATTTTAGACCCGCCTGTACTAAAATATCATAGTTTTAGACCCGCCTGTACCCAGGTATTTTCTGTGCCGTGCATCGTGACATCAAGGTCCAGGTATGTGCGTACAGGGCGGGCGCGGCATGCACTTACGGAATAGCTCAGGTATTTGACTCTCTGGATGCTGAGGAGGGTTGTACATTGATGTTGGTGATAAAGGTGAAGAGGCCTCTCATTCTTAAGATTGGAGTCCATTTTTCAAGGAGATTGTAGTAACTTTATCATTGCAAGCAGATGTTGGAGTATATTCTCTCTGTGGTTGAGAAGATATCTGCAGTTGGCTGCAGGGAACAGAGCTGGAGAGCATTGTGAGACTAAACTGGGATTTTAGTGAAAAACAAGAGACTGGCAACAATAGATTAAAATTGTAGATCCAGAGCATTATCAAGAATTCAAATGTGGATTTTGATTTTAAAAAATAGTAGACATAAGTCCAGATATCACAAAGGATTCTGATATTCTTGGGAATTGTTGTAGCTGTAACCTATATTCAGATATATCAGCAGAAATTTATAGGCAGATGTAGGAGCGTAACATTACAGGAGAGCCCAGGTGTTCGAGACTTCTCTGCTGAGAGAGACCTGAAACCAGGGATAGAGTAAGAGTTTGTGCCTAGACTTTTGTGGCTGTTACAGAGAAACTTGAAGTCAAGCAGAGAGAAAGAAGGAAGGAAAACCAGAGAGTGAGCAAGGCAGTTTGTCCTTGGGTGTGTCAAGTTGGATTAAGTTGAAATTTCCTTGAAAATGGAAGCAGTATTGAGAGTTATGTGGAATTAAGTGCCTTGAGGTTGCAGTTATGCTCAATTCGAAAAATTTATGCTTTATAGCACTGTAATATTTGGAGGATTGTGGATTATGAACAAAGAATCTGGATGCAGATTGAACAGTACACATCTTTAAAGAGCTCTCGATCACTAGTGATTTTTGTATATTGATACGCAGATGAAACCTAAATACTGAAAGCGTCTTCACTTGAAAATTTACAGTCATTGAACTTTTTGCAAATTGGACATTTTTTCAACATTATGCAATCTGCAACGGGAACTACTTCTAGCAAAACAATTGGAAAGACAAATGTTGTAGATTAATAGCTTTAGTGGGAAAAGATTTGACAGTCAATAATTCTAGTGGCAGTGTTTGAGAAATGCACCTGCCTCTTCAAAGAAAACTGGATTGAAATATTACTCACTGTTTTCAAAATACTGTGTGGAAAATTTCAAATTCAAATCCAACAGTGTTTGAAATTGGTACAACTGTAAGGATTAGATTTTCAAAAAAACATTGCTATCTGATAGGCAACTTCGGTGTTATTACTTTTTAAGAAAACTGAAGAGGATACAAAAGCAAACAATTTCCAGTTTGTTGTTCCTAAATGAAGTTGGTGACCAGAATGCTTAACTTAATAAGCAAAGACTTTTGTAGCTGTTAGCTTGATGAAGACATTATATGTATGTATTTGAGAAAAATGTATACGCTTGCAGTTGTGTGACATGTAGCCAGGGGCTATTATAGAAAACATACATTATTCTCTGTATATCATAGTTATATACCAAAGGCCAAACAGCATGCTGCAGGAGACAGAAGAGGTCTGGGTCTTATCTGAAGAATAAAAACTGGGTACAGGCGGTTCCAATTTGCACTGACCTATATAGAACTGGAAGGAGTAGCCAAAACTTTGATCAGGAATGGATAATGATAGTATAGACTTCACTGGATCAGACATGCAGTTGTTCCTTGAAGTTTAACAACAGGAGAAGGCTCTGACGATTCTAATTATGTTGCAACCAGTGGGCAACATGGACTGTTCTGAGGTTCCATTTGGGCATCACTCTTAATTTTGAGTAGACCAGGAGTTGCTCCCAAGATAAACAGTTGTTGAGATATACTGTAGAATTCTAAACAGTGATGTGTACAGGCAATTCATGTTGGTAGTAACAAAGGTGCAGTTTTTTTTTAAATTTTTTTGCTGTTAAATAGGGGCAGGTTATTTTCAGCAGGCCAAAACCTTCATCAGGGAAGAGGAATTGTGGAAGTGAGACTATATTTTTAATGAGACTTACCTTTAATGGTGATTCTCAGTTTATAAACACAAAAGGTTTCAGGCCATTCAAATTGGATTACTATAAAGAGGAAGTGCCAGTAGGACTTGTACAGACAGTTCCAATTGGCCATGACTGTAGGGTGGGGCATATTGCCAAATGTTTGCTAGTGGAAGTAGTGCAGTTAATATACATTTAACTGGACCCTATCTTTAGTTGATGCCTGCTGTTTACAAACATAAGAGGTCATAGACAGTTCCAATAAGATTATAGACAGTGGCCTACAGACAGTTCCAAATTGGCTGTGACATTAGGGTGGAGTGCCTTGTCCCACAGACTAAACTGAGGCTATCTGACCTGGCCTAAAGTTCAGCTGACAGAAAATGTTTAAAGGGAAGAAGAAGAACAAGAAAAAACAGAGGGGGGATGTCATTGGAGAGGTAATGCACTGCTGGGAGTTTATTGCTGGTGAGAAAATGCTTTGAAGTGTGTACAGGCAGTTTTAATTTGCAAAGAAATATTTTGAAAGGTTGCTGTACATCTGTGTACCATTTGATCGTAACATGCATGGGAAGGATTTACTGCACTCTGCCTCAGTACACCATGTGTGTGTGTGTGTGTGTGTGTGTGTGTGTGTGTGTGTGTGTGAGAGAGAGAGAGAGAGAGAGAGTCCCAGTGCATGCATGCATGTGTCCATTAAAAACAAGATTTAAATGGACACACACACACGCATACACAACACACACACACACACACACACACCAGTTGCTAAAGAGAAATATAGCATGTAAGAAGCCACTTGACCTTGGCTGTATGTGCTATTATAGCTTGGCATGTTGACCATCAAAATAATGGGTCAGGATGGACACATATTACAATAAACAATGGGGTCATTTGTTTTAATTATGTGGCTGCTTGGTTAGTGTCCATATTGATAGACTGGTCAAGCTTAATGAGCCGGGCTAAGCATTGAATTATTGGTGATATGAGTGGCACGAGTGATTTAAGTGATATCTCTAAGTACAGATGATTGATTTTAAATGATAGGGAACTCTCTCTCTCTCTCTTGTACACATATTTATCTGAGCTCCTATTATATTCTACACACAAACTAAAAACCTATTTTATTGTTTGACACATACACCCTAGGGCCATCTATACAACAACTTGGTCATTCTAATTCCTAACCTCGTGATCATCTTTAACTATCATCTTATGTGTATGTATTTCCAATCAGGAGGCAGTGTGCCAGCAAACTCTCTTTCAGAATGATAAGGGTGTCAAGGACAGGATGTATTTCCTCTTGCTTTCTGCTGCCAGGCTGGAGGTTGCATAATGAAGAGTGCTTTCAGAACTGCAGGCTAAGGCCCCATTCAGAATAGGGGACTAACTAGTCTGAGGGTCATATATGGCACCCTACTATAAAACTTGCCATCTAATCTGCCAATAGACACTGAATTGATATCCTGTGGTAAGTATTGAAGTGGGTTGACCATGGCTAGGTAGTCCTCAATTCTGAATGGAGCCTAACAGATCCGGGGGATTGAATCTGGCTGATCCACTTGAATGTTTGTTGCGTGATCTCAGCGAGTAATCTGTTAAGTATTAAATTGGGAATTAAGCTACAAGCAAAAAAAAGAAAAAAGGTTGCCATATTTGATTTGCAGTTCTGTAAGTCTAATGTTCTGAATGTGCTCAAAGAAGCATGATTTGATCTGGATCTAGAGTCAAATAGGGCAGGGTGGGGGGGGGGGGATTGCAGGAAAAGCTGATCTTTTCCACCCTAGCCCCTTCCCATCCTCCTTGTGCATTCCTGAATGGACTGTGTTTTTAAGAGACATGTTGAACGTTAATTGGACAAAAATTTTGTTTTTGTCTTTTTCTTAAACCGTTTGCCCTCCTGTGACTTTGAAAGTGCAACAGTGGATCTACCAGTGTGCATGTGGAGCAATGAAACTTGTGATAGAGATATTGAATATTGAGTATAAATGTGTGTGTGTGTGTGTGTGTGTGTGTGTGAGTGTGTGTGTGTGTGTGTAATTTTCATCTGTGTGTGAGAAAAAGGATATCAGAGTTGCCAGTAAGTGGAGATGAGAAATGATCTAATTATGATTGGTTGAAAAATTGGGGGGGGAGAGAAATGAAGATAGTTCTGAAAACAGATTTCATTTGGCTACAGTTATGGATTTTAAAATTATTACTGTACACAATCACATCTGAAGTTATAAGAAATTTTATTTTCCCTTTGCAGAAGATTATGCGATCATCCAGCGATGTCAGCAGTAATAGAGAAGAGCGCCCCCTACCCATCACAATATCCAGTCCAAGGCGCTACACGCGGCAGACCAGTGGAAGCCGCCATATTATTCCAGCTGATCAGATTGAGGCCATTAGTACGCTGGGGGTTGGAGAGTTCGGGATTGTACAACAGGGAGTGTGGACCAATGATAATGGTCAAAAAGTAAGGAAAATATTTGATGTAATTAGGTCAATCAGATCTGGATGGCTTACAGAGATTAGTAGTTATAAGAAGGGCCCACCCAACTAGGGATGTGAACACGCCTTCAGTTTGAACTATAGGAATGACCTGTTACTTATATGGCACAAGTGTAAACTAGTCAGCTTTGTCTCTGGTAGTGATCTGGCCGTCCTCTTATTGCTTCCTGTTTAGACAAAAAACAGCACTGGTTTGTTTTTTTACTCCTTGCTCCCCTTCTTACTATGTGTGTGTTCAGGATTGCCATTGACAGGCCAAGGAGCAACAGTTTCGTGGTATGATTTGGTGGTTTTTCCTTTTTTTTAGCTCCAAATTCTTAAGTGATTTAGATCTGAGAGTGCACAGCACTTTGAAAAAAAATATGCTGAAAACTATGGTTTCTTTACTGTTTTCTAGAACTGTTGCATTTAATCAGAATTAAGCCATTTCATATGCGAAATACTATGTTAATTAATATACAACAATCTTTATGTGGTGCAAGCACAACATTTGCAGAGAAGCTTTGGCAGTTCAATTTATATTTTCCTTTTCTTGCATGCTAATATCTTAATTTTTCTTTCTTATCACATTTTATCTCTGTTTTTGTTTTTGTCACACGTATTTCCCACGGCTTAAAACCCTATAAAATTAGGTGCTAAAACATTAGGAACTATCTAATGCTTTTGAAAATCTCTCACGATTCTTTTCTTTTTGAAAGGGGGGGGGGGGTGGGGGGGTGGGGGTGGGGGGCAGTCCCACACAGATAATTTGTATTGCCTCTGTATCTCTCTCTTTTATTCACAATTATCTTTTCATTAGTATAGGCTCTGAATGGGGTAAGATGAGTAGCTAAAAGAGATGCAGCAGCATCCATTGAAAATGTTGTTTTGAAATGAATGTCCAATTAGGAAAGTTGAAAATAATTTAGACATTGATTCATCGTTTCAAAAACATTTAACCACAAAGAACAGAAAATGAGGTTTGTTCCTAGTTTAAAAGGACAAAAACTGGCTTCATTATGAAAATTGATAGATTCAATCTGTATTTATTGTAAAGAAAGATCTAATCACGAAAGAATTATTAATTATGAAAGAAGCACTAATGGTGCTTATAGGTAGATACAAAGGGAATGACAGAGGATTAGCTCTGTGGTAACTGTATTTTCTGATTGAGATTACTTCCAGGAGTTGGCAGAGTCGTGTGAGTCACCCTGACATCTGCGTGTGCTTTGTTCGATAACTGTGAACACGCGATGGTGGAATATGGTACTGGGGTCAAAGATTGAGAATATGATTTGGGGGGAGGGAATCGGAGGGGGGAGGGAGGGCAAAAAAAAAAGGGGGGGGGATTGGGAGAATAAAGCTTTTAGGGTTTGAGTTTATAGGGGTAAAGATTAGGGAGGGGTAGGCCAGTCAGTAGGATGGTTGGGAGGAATTTTGGTTAGTAGGGTGGTCAGTTTAACCCTATCTCCCACCCCAGTCAAAATCCTTCTTACCTATGAAACTGTAAGTAAACGTTATTTATTCACAGAATTTGTATATTGCACACTGAACGTGGGCCCCTTTCAAACCCCCCCCCCGGACCACCTCGATTACCCACGTATGACCCTTATTGTGTAGACCATATTTGTGGTAAAGCTAGAGGTTGATACTCTACCCCTGGCAACACGCAATCTTAACTCATTACGATCTGTGACTCAGTCTCTATAATGACAGGTGAAAAGATCCAACCTGCCTAAGCATGGGTACCTTAGATTAAGTTTTATTTTCTTTTTTCATATTACTCTACAGGAAATGTTACATATTCTTCTATCATGTATCATTAGATTAGTGGCAGATCAGGAAATACTTGAAAAATGACACACGGTGCTAAATCTAATTTTGTGTTTAATAAAAAATTTAATACACCTGTTTGCATGATATGTTTGCATGATATTTAAAAACCTTGTAAAAATGTGTTGGAGCTAGGTGATGTATGGATTTTGAGAGCATCTGTTGCATGCATTATACAAGTATTTTTCATATAGAGAGGTGCATTTTTATTTTTTTATTTTGTGTGCCCATGTGCGTGTATTTTTGTGTATTGGTATGTATCTGTGATTTTGTGTGCATGTGCATATCACCCATTGCAAACTGGCAGAATAGAACCTGCAGTTGACTACCCTCCTTACTGTCAGTCTTGACGAGGAAGTTTAATGTACTTTTGGTACACCGTGTAATACAATATAACCTTGACTCCTACAGACAACAGACACCAATGCAAGTGGAAAAAAAAATCATATTCACCCCCGCCCTGTATGTACCAGTAACTGGAGGGTAGACTCCGTCATTGCCTACTTATCGGGAGAGTCCATACGTAAGGGAAATAATAACATAGCTGGGAGTAATAACAGGGACAGCTCGTTACTTCATGTTATTTCACAGCTGAGTCAGAAGATCGTGTTTCATCCAGTGGAGAAACGTAACCTTCAGATTTTATAGCGAACTTCAAAGAGGACTGCGAGAACAGATGCCAGGTCCAGAAAAAAAAAAAAGGAAAAAAAAAAGAAAGAAAGATAGCAGTGAGAGAGCTCACTTGATAAGAAATGCAGGAAAAATAAATGATTTGTGTGTGTATGTTCCTGAGTGAATGTGTGTGTGTGTGTGTGTGTGTGTGTGTGTGTGTGTGTGTGTGTAAGGGAGAGAGTGAAAGAGAGAAAGAGGAGGATTAATCAGAAAAAAATGAAACTTCATTCTCTTAAAAGAAAATCACCTGTGCATGTATGCAGAAACATGCCTGCACATGCACATGGGCGTGAACACATTCTCAAACGCTATCACCTTATTCAAACACTCTGGATATCTTGCAGTGATTTCCATGGCCTTTGTGACACCACATGATAATTTTTCAGTCATTGGAATTGATAGAACACATGTTCATGCCATGTTATAGGATGTTACATTATAACTTTCAGATCAACTGATATTAGATGTCAGCTTAAACCTGCTTTATCTACTATTGAGGTGGTCATCAGATACATCGAAGTTAGATTCCCAAGTGAAAAAAAAAATGATTTGGTTGAAGACTATTTTGGTTTGTGAAAGGAAAATATGAATGTTTTTATTGTAAGATCGTAAATCTCAAAGCATATTTTGTAGCATACATTTTCTTGGCTGCAGAGTAATGAGTATGTTTATTTGTGTACATGTTTGTCTATGTGTGTAAGTACATGTGTGTCCGTGTGTGAGTGTGTGTGCGTGGCTGCCCGTGTTATATGACCTTAAGTCAAAAATTTACGCCACAAAAGAAAAAAAAATCCTTTAAAATGTGCTCATTTGCATGCCACATTTAGTAGAGAACGTTCTCTCACAAATAAGCAATTCCTGACTCATTCTAATATTGTTTTTGTAAGATTGAACAATTTAGTCTCACCCAAAGAAGAAAACCTTTTTGTCATGAACCCAAGTTGATTTTGGAAACATTGAATTTATCTTATTCTTAGTAATAACCAAAAAAAGAAGAAAAAAAACCTTGTTGGAAATCTGATAAATCAAGTTCAATTCCGCTTTAGGAAGTTGTTGCCATGGCACTAGATGCAGGCAGCCCATCAGATAATTCTGAAGTGTATTGCACAACATGTAATTTTCCTCCCAAACTGTGCAGATATCTTCTTAATATGACTGTTGTAATGCATGTCAAGCATTGCCAAGTTATTTGATGGACAGCGTGATAGCAGTGTCACAGCCTTCTTGTCATCTAAATACACCATCAGAGGATGTGTTTGAGATAAGTCGGAAATGCTTGAGCATATTTAGTCATATATGGCGGGAAGATGGGGGAGGGGGAGGGATAGAGATTAAGGGGTATAGGGGATAGACTAGATTGTGGGGGTATAAACCACACAAAAATATATGAAGAAAAAAAAGCAGAATGAAAATAATAATTCAAGTTATCTTAGACACTAACCGTTCATATAAGCCACAATTTATGGCAGAACTGACAGGTGGTCTTCTGCTGAGCTGTCAACCATCTGTTTTAAAAACAGCACCCAGGTTCGACAGAATACTTTGAAAGGTACCAACTTTTGCCTGAGACGATTAGATCATAATCTTGGTCCACTCTGACTGAAGGTAATTCTTGATAAATCAGCAGTAGTCTGCTAAAATGAAACATTAGGCAAGTTGTAAAAGTGAACAGACCTATGCTTTTTACACCACAAGTAACTCAGTTTTAGGGCCTGGGGCCTGCTACATAATTATAGTGAATTAAACTATGCCAAAATTTTCATTCTGACCATAAAGACCAACTCTTTGTCTGACATTATTTTGTCACGGATTAAAGAAGCCTGCCAAGGGTGTTAACCATTAGTCACGGCATCGTCTTACTTCATGTTAGTGTACCAGTCAGGTAATACACAGGTCACTGGACTCGTGGTTATCAGTGTTCACTTGTGGCCTTGGGCAGTTTCCTCTTTTTTGACTGGAGATAAAGTTGAAAATAACCATTTTTGTATGAAGAATTTTAATGTTGGAGAGAAACCTGATTTATCTTTTTTAGAGAAAAAAGTATACTAAAGTGTCTTAATAAGACATGAGTCTGCTTATTTTGAATATAGTTTTTTTCATATTTGATGGGTAGATGGAATATATTTTGATTGGTCAGTGCACTTTTATTCAGTCAACAATAATAAGATGATGATATATTATGATCTATGTGTTAAGTCAGTCTTAAATAGCTATCGCCTTTTTGGTCAAGGAGAAAAAATTCAGATTATGATAGGTGTTAGCTGTACCATTGTGTTAGTTGTGAAATAGTTGTGACCAGAATATCTTTACTTCTCCAGGTTCAAATTGGAATTGTGTTAGTTGTGAAATGGTTGTGACAATAATGTCTTTTTCTTCTCCAGATCCAAGTTGCCATCAAATGCCTGAGTAAGGAGAGGATGCAGACAGGGATAGCAGACTTCCTGAAGGAGGCCACCATGATGCACACAGTGGACCATGACAACATAGTCCGGCTGTATGGTGTGGTGCTGGACAGCTCCTCTGAGGCACCTCTGATGCTGGTAAGATTGTGTTAGTTGTGATTGTGTTAGGTGTGCTTGTGTTAGTTGTGATTGTGTTAGGTGTGCTTGTGTTAGTTGTGATTGTGTTAGGTATGATTGTGTTAGGTGTGATTGTGTTAAGTGGGATTGTGTCAGGATGATTGAGCCGGATATGATTGTGTTAGGTGGGATTGTGTCGGATATGATTATGTTAGGTGTGCCATAGTTGTTTTTGTATACAGTAAACTATGTAAACATTGCCATACTATGAGGGACTACTGATGCTGATGAGATTGTGTTAGCTATGATTGTGTTATATGTGATTGTGTTGGGGATGATTGTGTTAGGTGTGCCATAGTTGTTTTTGAATACAGTAAACCATGTAAACATTGTTATACTCTGAGGGATTTCTGATGCTGGTGAGATTGTGTTAGGTGGGATTGTGTTGGGTGTGATCTTAAAAGAGGATTGTTACAGGGATTGATGAGACATAACAAAAACCAACAATTTTTGTAAGTTTTCAAAGAAAATCATTCAACATTCTGCAGGCAAGGTTACATTACACTATGTTAGAAATAGAATAAAAACTAAGGCACATACATTTTAAACTTGGAAATATAAATTATTTTCCACTTGCAGGTGACGGAGCTAGCCCCAATGAGGTCACTGCTGGAGTGTCTCAAGGACACATCTGCACACCCAAACTTTCCTGTCACTACACTGTGTGAGTACGCAACCCAGATTGCCAAAGGAATGGAGTACCTGGAGACGCGGAGGATGATCCACAGGGACCTGGCCGCTAGGAATATACTAGTGTTCTCAAAAACTAAGGTATACATAGACATACTGGTGTTCTCAAAAACTAAGGTATACATAGACATACTATAATGTCTTACCTGGCCGCTAGGAATATACTGGTGTTCTCAAAAACTAAGGTATACATAGACATACTGGTGTTCTCAAAAACTAAGGTATACACAGACATACTGTAACTGTCTTTTTTAACTTGCTGCTAGGAATATATTATACTGGTGTTTTTAAAAACTAAGGTATACACAGACATGCTGAAATTGCCTGTCTTACTGGTCATGACTGAAAACAATTTCATGAAATGATGTAACATTGTAGGTGAACATTTTTAAGAGTTGCTTTTTAAATTTAATGTTAATCTGTTAAGAAGTTATTTGGTACTCAGATGACATCTCATAAAAATCCAGGTAAAAATTAGTGACTTTGGAATGTCGCGGGCTCTGGGTCTAAGCAGGGATTACTACCAGACCAACTTCAATGTCAATCTCAAGTTGCCAATAGCTTGGTGAGTATGGCTGAAGTATGTTGAATCACAGGTTCTATGCAGCCTTAGTAATGAAGATTGTGATATAGGCCTGCTTTGGGCATATAAATTATGCTATTTATGCTAGATTATATTGAGGTCATAGACTTGGTAAATGAGAGGACTTCTCTCTCTCTCTCTCTCTCTCTCTCTCTCTCTCTCTCTCTCTCTCTCTCTCTCTCTCTCTCTCTCGTTTCACATTATTAAATCAAGTTGTACGTATGCAGGTGTGCCCCAGAATGCATCAACTACCTACGGTTCACTACGGCGTCGGATGTGTGGGCGTTTGGTGTCACGCTGTGGGAGATGTTCAGCTATGGTCTCCAGCCCTGGGGCGGCTTCTCTGGACAACAGGTGAGAACTACAACACCTCTTTAAACTCCCGAGTCTTGCACTCTCTTAGATTGCTGGGTTAAAAAGGGAAAAATAGGCCCATTGGGATACATGGAGGGTTCAAAAGAACCACTCTTTTGGCTGGAAAAGTTCTGTCCAGAATCAAATTTTGTCTTGATTCTCAAAGGGGACTCTCTGGGGTTAAAAAGGTCCACATTTTCAGAACCCCCCTCCCCCCATGCAATTGCTGGCTAAAGAACTGAAAGAAACATTAAGGCTTAAAAGTACCTTGTTGTTGGTCAGCCTCAGTGGAGTGGGGTGAAATACAGTAGTATATGAAATATAAAGAAGATATTTTTGTCTGTTGGAGCCATGCTGAAGGTATTTTTGGTCAGTAGAGTCTTATGTAAAAGTACATCTGGGGGTAATTGTTCTTCTCCTGTGCCAAGTTACCCCCCCCCCCCCCAAATAAATAAATAAATAAATAAATAAAGACATCTACTATATATGAATTTTTCGGGGCATTTTGGGATGGCATTTTAACAAGCAAAAGTTTTTGTTGCCTGTAGTTTTAGCTGTGTGGCACAAGCTACAGTAGTTTAAAGGAATGGCATTTGGTGTTTACCCCAGGGGGAGGGAGGGGGGGGGGTGATGATGTGATAGCTTCTTAAAGGTGAGCTGCATCGAGATATGGCAATGCTAATGGAGCTTTTGCTTTAAAAATAAGAGCAGTGTGCAGCTAGCCATTTGAGTGACTTCCTTTATCTGTCATAGAATAGTTTTTGCTTGGGACTCATTTTAAAATTGGTCTATGTATGAATTTCTACCTGTGTCGTTTGTATAACGTTATGAGCTGTGATTGTTCCTGATGGTCATCTAGTTAGAAGTCAAGTTTAAAGTGGATCAGAATGTTTAGAAATGTTGAAGCAGGAGAAAGTATTTCTAAACTGACTGTTGATGATGTTAAATCTAAGTGGAAGTTTGTTGTTTTGGAGGTCTGCTCTTGTCTGTGATGGGATAGAAGTGGGATGAGTTGGGGGGGGGGGGGGGAGAGGCAGGATTGGGGTGGAACCTTTTATCCAAACTTAACAGCATGTTTTATTCATTACCTTTTTTTGTGGTGATGGTGATATTTGTAAACTTTGATTTTATCACACATTGTGTATTGTTAGTACCAGTTTGTGATAGAAATCTTTATAAATGTTATGATTCTCCCACTTGCATAATATTGATGGACCTGTATGACCTAAATTGTTAAAGTACACCTTTAAAATAATCCACGTTTCTTTTTGGGTGTGAATGCAAAATGCAATGTATTTGAGGATTGACCCTTGAGATATTTTGAATTCCTGCTAGTAATTTGTAACTTAAATTCTTATTCCCCTACAATTTTATTGTTATGCTCATTAACCATATTTGATAATACAAAGGTATATCTATATTGAGATATGAAGCATTTAAATTTATGTGATTTTATTGGGTTGAATTTTGCCGTTTGTGATACTGATCAATATGAACCATTCTGTGGTTAACAAGCAATAAAGTACATTAGAAATAAAAAAATAAAATAACTTTTTTCCCCACCCCTCCTCTAAATAGTCTTATTAATAAGGCACTTGGAGATGTGAACTTCATGATCCAAGAGCATTTATTATTTTAATTTTTTAATAGAAAATTAATTTCTGATTTCTTAGCTGGGGCATGCATCCCACTATACTGTATGTGATTTCAAAATGATATTTGAACTAATATGAAATAATACAGCACAAACAAAGAACATTATTTTTTGTAACCCATATTAAAATTGTCAGACCAACTTTTATTTTCTGTTTTCTAGTTGATTAATAATGACAATGCAGCAGTTTTCTGTTATTTCTTTGAAAGAAAAATTACTCTGGTTTGTTTCTGTTTTTCTCCCCTTTCAGGATAGTGATGGACAAACATCTCTCAAAGCTTTAGAATTAACAACCAAGGTATTTCCACCACAAGATAACAACACAGATTAATATCATGATAATATTTCATGATGATATAACCAAGTATTGCACTAATGTATTGTATATATTCCTTGCATTCAATGCCATGTGGGAACTAACAGCTAATGGCTTTATTGCTTCGATTAAAAAATTTAAAACAGGAGCAGCATGGACCCACAGCTCTCAACACATTTCTTACACAGTTCTTGTTTTCATTAATTTACAGTTAAATTACAGTTTTTTTTTCTATTTTAATTTTTAAGAGGAGGCATGTGGAATGTTTATATTTTATATATCATTAAACTAAAAAGTATTTAATGTCTTTTTTTTAATCTTCAGGTTTATTTTCATTTTATATTTCTTGGGATTGGGGGTGGGTGAGGAATATTTAAACTATCCTTCTGTTTTTCTAAAATATGGTATTTCTAGGAACAAATCTGGGCCTTCTGAAAATCTTCCCACTTCACCTTTAAAAAAAAACCCTGACCTTTGTTTTTCTGGAAGCATGGTAGTTCTGTTGTTATTATGTCATTGCCAAGTTGCTGTTGCTGTGGTGATACAGCAGCATTGTTTTTTGTTGCTGTTATTGTTGACGTCAAGGCATGTGTAACTACTGCATGTGCTGTTAGCTGCATGCTAGCCTCTTAGAAATATTCTAGAGTAGTTTCTAGTTTCTGGATTTTGGGGGTAGACTTCTGTTATTATGTATGTAGTCTGTTGGGTTATTTGAGGAAAATGTCTTTGAGTTTCTCGAGGTCATGGATTAAAAGTTGACAATGTACGGAGTAGAAATCTTAAATGTTGAAGGCGTCACTTAATATGGCTAGATGTTTATCTCAAATTTCAAGTATTATGAAAGATATAATGCTTTGTGTTTACTGAATGTCAATATTTTTTTATCGTGTAATGTTGATTATAACATGGCTTATTACTAGATTTCTTTCAATTTACATTTGAAACTTAAGCTTCTGAACCTCTGACAATAAGAGCTGTATACACTTTTATCAATTACTTATCTTGTATCATTTCTTTTAACTTGTTTGCCAATTTGCAAGTGATGTAAAGTAGCGATATGTATTCTCAATAGATATCAGTTGATCTTCAAAATGTAACTTTTTAGACCAGCTTAGAAAATTTCTTGTCTAAGTTGACCCAGTGTGTGAACACAGCCTTCATTGAGGTGGTCTTACCGATACCCAATCCACTTAGATCAATGAAAACAAGGTGGTTCACCCAACACAATTGTGCTAGTTGAGATGCATCGTCTCACCCAACGCAATCTTTACAGATCCTTGAAGCCATAGATGAGCCAAACTGTAGGAGGCTGGAGCAGCCAGACTGTTGCCCCAAGGAGTTCTACGGGCTGATGTTGAAGTGCTGGGAGAATGATCCTGGCAGGAGACCCACCTTCCTGGAGATAGCTGCCATGTTACCACAGGTGAGAGAGAGAGAGAGAGAGAGAGAGAGAGAGAGAGAGAGAGAGAGAGAGAGAGAGAGGGGGGGGGGGAGGAGGGGGGGGGGGAGG